ATTTTTCTTTAATTTATTCTCTAGGGATCAAGACAAAAAAAACCATCTTAGATTCCTGAGTAAATTTGACCTCATTTCATGGCTGATGTGGTCAAAAGTCGATGTTTTTATACAATTAAGACAAAGGACTTTATATCAGCAGGATTTCAGGGCTCTGGTTCTACTATATTTACTATAAAATACACTAATGGTAGGGTAGAGGTTGGAGAAGGAGGTGGAAACATTCTTTACAAGGCAACATGATAGATAGCAGGAACCTAGCTAGACTTTAAGGAATTGATTCTATTCAGGCAGGGGGAAACCCACATAATTAAGTTTCACACTTATAAAAGTAACACTCTGAATTCAGGAATAAGAGGCATTTGGTTGCAGATACAACTCTATCTGTATATACTAACCTTAAATTTAGAGAAGAAAAACACTCATTGCATTAATATTACGGGTTGGGTTTCTTATGTGATTCCTAAATCCATCTACTATTATTTTGTTTTGATATAATTTACAGTTATGGTAAGAAGACTACCACAACCCTGGTTCAGTTGTGGTCTTTAGCTTCAGAAAGTCCATCGGTCATGTAGTTGGCTGTCATTGCTAAATCTGTTGCTTGCAGAGGCCTCAGAGCTCTGGGTTTGCCGAGTAAAGTCCTCACCATTTAAACTCTTCCTTTTCAGCACGTTTGAGTTCCTTGTAGATCGATGATGTTAAGCCTTTGTTGGACATGGAGTTGGCAAATACTTTTTCCCAGTCTGTGCAAGAACCTGGAATCAACCATACTGTCCATCAAAAGAGGACTGGATTTTAAAAATGTGGTACATATACACGATGGAATACTATGCAGCCATAAAAAAGAACAAAATCATGAACTTTGCAGCAACCCGGATGGAACTAGAGTCAATAATACTAAGTGACCTCTCACAGAAACAAAGATCTGAGTATCACATGTTCTCATTCATATAGCGGACCTTGAACATCCATGGTAATACTATAGAAAAAGGACTGACAGTGGAGGAGGGGAAGGGAGGTGGGATTAACAGTAGTCAATATCTGTCTGGGGACGGGGAGACACCCCTTATCAACAAGGGTGACTGAACGAAGCATATTTGTATACCTAACCCTTAACTGTACCTCACAATATCAAAATTAAAAATATTGATATAAAAAAAACAAAAAAACTCTTCCTACATACAGGACATATGTCATGCAGCTCTAACCATGGCACAATACAACTGCTGTGAAAGAAGTGATTGCAAGGTAACTGCAAGACTTCCTCTTTAACTGTGTAATCTTCTTTGCATACTGGACACTCTAAACCCATATCAACTTGTTCCTAAGTTACTGTCACTGCTGGAAGAGATATGATCTTTTCTTTGTCAGCTGGGGGAGGCCCTGTGTTTTCCAGTTGTCCTAAAGGCTGGGTTACAATGGCATCAAGTCCTGTCTGACCCCAGGCATAGTCCCCAGGGTTAGAGTGCAGCAACCCGCTCCACGAAAAGGGGTGTGGGGATCCAGGAATTGCAGAATTTGCAGAGAATCCTGCAAAGATCTGTTGTATTATTCCTTCAATAGCTGGAGACCTGTCAGGTCGAGAACTTCCTTGAGATCTGTATCTCCGAGTCATTGGCAGCCGTGGAGGCCGACTTGGTCCCCAGAAGTCAGTGTGAGTTTGGTGACTCCTCTCATTGGCTCTGTTATCTTGGTCCAGTGGACTACTACTTAAAAATGGCCTAAAATCTTGAAAAAACGTGTGATCCAAAATGGTCCCAGAGCTCTGCAAAATGTGTTGGCGTGCTATTGCCTACCCGGCTGCTGCCATCACCTAAAACACTGGAATCATCTGTCACTTCTTCAATAAAGCCTGACTCACATCTGGGACAGATATATTCCGGTAGTTTGGGGCTGACCTCGCTCTTGCAAAAGTGGCAGAAAAACCGGTGTGCGGCTACAGCTGCGCCCGCGTCGCCCGGGCCGCCGAAGCCTCCGCCATTTTTGTCCTCCGCCGCGGCTGTCCGAGAGGGCGGTGGGCCGGTCCCTCGCCAGGCCGCTAGCTCCCCAGCAGCGGTCGCCGCCACCGCTGCCTTGGTGCAACCTTCCGCTTTAGAGCCCGCGTAGGTCACGTGGGACGGCCGGGCCGAGAGGCGGCTGCGCGGCCCGCGACTTCACTGCCCGCCTCCCAGCACCAAAGAGGCGCGGGAAGGAGAGTCAACCCGCCGCGGCGCGCCCGCCGGTTCCCTAAACAGCCCCTCCCAGGTCCTCAGCTACATGAATTTAAATGAATTAAAATTAAGATGACAAATTCAGTTACGCACCTGCACTATTCACATTTCGAGTGCTCGGCAGCTACGTGCAGCTAGGTACATCCCTCTGGGGCAGCACAGAGAACATCTCCATCATCTCCCAACGTTAGATTGGATATTCTATCAGAGAACTTGAATTCTCCATAAATAATGAGAATCCCAGATGAGGGTGTCCTCGGTATCTGTCCTGTGATGAACCCAGGCAATGCCAACTCTTCGGCTTATCCTGAGGGGGATAAAATAAGCCTCCACTGCAAAGAAACATGGACAGAAAATTACTCAGCATCTAGACCTAGAAACTCTGCTTGTTATCTATATTACACAGTAGCAAAAGAAAGGTTATTCCATGATGTAATTAACCTGATTAGATTCATTAGAATGAGATATCCTGTAATAATTCTACCATAGGACTCCTTGCAACTTAGCCTCAGTAACTCCATCTTGTAACAAATCCTCCATTTTAGCTGCCAGCTCACCCAGATGCAACCCCCTGTGTGGGACCATTGCCACTTTCTGTATTCACAAGCCCACATCCTTTGTTCCACTCCCTTGTTCCCCTGGTGTTCTGCTTGCTACCCTGATGTTTGTAAACTCCCTAGCCACAAGTTCCTTGTTCTGATTGTACCTTTGCTTAACTGAAATCAGATGTTGCGCCAAGTAATGTTCCCTTTTTAGTTTTAGTTCCCTGTTGCTATGTAGCCCACTTGCTGTTTTTGCCTTCATAAGCCCTTTGCCTGCTTTACTTGGGGTCGAAAGATCTTTCTGAGAGGGCACTAGCCCCTCTCAACTGCCAGCTATTAACGGACTCATAATTTGACCCTCTGCGTGTTGGAGACTGTTTTCTCACAATCCGAGTGTAGCAAGAACATAAACTTAGTTTCCAATATTAATGGTATCGGCATAAAACTTGCTGAGTTTTGTGTTATATTTTATTTCCTATAGATATGTCCTGTATTCTCAGATCAGCTTACAAATGCTTTGTTTTTTGTCGGCAAGTCAAACTTAATGTATTATGGACATTATGAATTAAATAAATATTTGGATGTAACCAAGTAGATTATGTGCATTTATAAATAATAGAGTAGCAATGCCTGTAAATAATTGTTTATAGTAAAACATGTATGTGTGGATGTCTGAATACAGAACTGGATAAATGCCTATGTAACTGTCCAAAACTGAAAAGATAACTTTTTACCACCACTGCCTAGTGTAGCTACCAGTTTCTTGGATGTGTGCTCATCTGCATGACCAACGATAACTCACCCACTGTTCATGACTCTTTTGTCCCTAGTGCACTCCTGGTAATGCCTGACCCTATCAGTTGTTCCTTCCTCTTTCCTTTCCCATGTGGCATCCTCAGTCCTGTGCTCTTCCTCCTCCTGACATAGTCCTGGTCACTATGGAGACAGTTC